TATGAGTTTGATATTTGAATGTTATGTATAATGATATATAGAACTGTCTCTGATACGAGATGTTATAATGATATTTAGTAAACAGTTTAATCATCTTTATGAACGAAACAGTAGGTACATTTAAGATTTTTGTTGCTATACATGTAGATAGTATTCTTATTGTCAATATTGTATTTGTAGGATATTTCAATCTATTTCAAAATAAAAACTCCTTTTCAATGTAAACGTAAGAAGTATTTAAAACTGTTTCATGAAACCGAATTGAATACTTCTAGATTTCAATACCAAAGGCCGGAATCGCCCTTTACAGTCAGAATATTAAAATCCAACACCTCGGGAACGAAATGAAAGATGCACTTCCAACTTGAGATTTTTCCGATATTTGTTTGACTTCGCTCTAACGTTTTAAAGCTGTACTTCATGAAAATTATTATTATGGAGATGTAAGTGAACATTTTGTACGTACAAATTTTCTATTGTTTATTCTATTGTTTAACAATCCGATCACATACGATGTTTTGTATTAGGTCAGATTATTATTTGTAACCATTATATTATCAAAAACTATCGAGCTTCAATATATTCATTGAATAAACTACGTATATAATAAAATAAGTCGACTGTTAAGTATAAGTATAAGACAGTAAAAAGTCATTAAATTGAAGTATATTTTAAGTGTACTGTATAAACATATATCATATTTAAAAAGTAAACCGTTTAAGTTCCACAATTATGCAATAGTTTATCAAAGTGAAACAAATTGCTTTTCATCATTTCCTCTTTAGTAAAGGAACGATTTATATTTATTACTATATTTTATGGAAATATATCTGACTCCTTGTCACGAATAAACTTTAATCGTCAGCAATCATGTGTGCATTACACATAAAAAATGTAAAGTGATTTTAATACGATATAAAATGTACGTCACATTGAGATGGATTTTCAATGTATTATTTACACGAAGAATATCTGAAGCTAATATAATATTTACAGTGTGATATCGGAATCCGAATGATTCGTGACAGTATTCGTATTCGTCCAACATCCTATTCGTATTCGATGTATTCCGATCACGTGGTTAGCTTTTAGTTTCTCCATTCATATTGCACTGCATGAGATCCGAAATAAAGACACAGAGTATTGTTTGAATAGATGAAAGTAACATAACAGTTTATTATGAATGATTAAGGTCAGAATCACAATTAATTGAAGAAGATTTCGTTGACAACTACTGTATAGAACATGATCCTATGGCACATGTAAAATATTAAAGTAAGAATTTTTTTACTTCGATCAATATTTTTTTGTAGTTTCAGTGAAGGCGTATTATACGTATATACTTAATGATATTTATGAATTCTCCCTTAACAACATTTTATGGTTTTATATACTTCTAGAACCTATTTTGTATTCACAAAGAAAATCCTTATTAAGATATATTTCGTCCAATGAATATTTAAATTTTGCTTATGAAAGTCTTTTGAAACGATTATTTTGAAATTAATATATTTTAATATAAGGATAAAGCACTTCAATTTGAAAACTTCAAAAAGTACCAAATGTTATAAAACAAATTCTTTTTCATTTATTTAAATGAGCAAACTTTAAAGTATTTACCATATCCTAAAACAGCTGTAAACGAGAACTAAATGTTCAAATTGGTTTCCACTGTACAGGATCCGTGAAACATAAAAAGTTTTGGGAACTTCTGATAGCGCCCCTATACCCATTTGTACTGCACTTTCAAACAAAAGAACTGCAATAGAATTACACTTTTATTTTGTAAATGAAATTAACTGTTTATCTGAGTGGACTGATGCCAATTGAATCTTCAGTACTATCGATTTGTCGCTTATTTCTTCCGATTTATATTTTCCTCTAATCTATAACACATAGTGTCAATACTGATCAATATCGATGATTTTGTTCCAGCACAACTCAATAAAAATCGTTAATCATATAAGAAAAACAAAGAAAAACTATATTCTAAACAACCCATTTATTTGTAATGCGAAAAATAAAAGGAAAACAATGTAGCCAAAGCTGACAACAAAAGAACCACAGATTGCACGGTGTGTGATTTATTTGGTGCAATATCGCAACCGCCGAGTGCTTTATCATAGTGAGACGGTAGCCGAGAAAGGCAAGCACATTGGTGACACGTTACAAAAAACAAAGGGTTGCCACAAAGAACATAGCTGTCATTTTCATTTTGTAGTTTCAACGCAGAACTTAAAATGGGGCTGGGAAAACGGCGTTTTATTATTTATAACGTGTAACAATATATTTATATTACTTCATTATTTTAACGAACACTGTGACATCCTTTCATTAGTATCATTACAACTATCGATGAGCTTATATGTATGAGAAAGAATTATGCATAAACATTTATAGGACTGTAATATTTTTATTTCGCTTCAAGTAACAATAATATTGATGAGTCTCTGTGGTTGGTGGCAACAACGCTGTGTCATAACGTCCCCGTATCTTTATAAGAGTACAAACGAAGGCATCGTTCTTATTTCCGTTTCGTTGATCGCCTTCTAGCTACATTCGTATAATGACGACGTGTTAACAGACATTTTTAATGTAGAATTCAGGGGAACATTTAGAGACTCGAGTAAAAGGGGCGCTCTATATGTCTCCTTTAACATACTCGTAAGCCTTCTTATAACGAAATGAAGTGAATATTATTATATAATGAATAATAGGTTTAAAAATAAAGTCGGTACCTGGTGCTCTTAGTCACGCAAATGTTAAAGAAATTATAAATGATATCATACTATGTGAGAGTTTGTTAGTAGATATACTTTTTAATAAATGTGTATTTTAAATGAAGCTTATATTTTTCCGATTACTACATATATTTTTTTACTTTTAAAAACTACATACATTCGACGTTTCGGTTACTGTATACGAAACCGTGATAACGGGCTGACGAAATGTCTGACGACATTAGATCTCATTATGTATTTTTTTCATTAGAGGTTATGGGCTTATCCTGAAATTCTCAGTTATTTTGTTAAAAATAGATAATTAGTGAAAGTTTTATTGCGTAAATATGACTACGAACTATATTGCAAGTGTTCCGAAACTAAAAGGGAGAGACAATTATGATGAGTGGAGCTTCGCGGCTGAAAATCTGTTGGTGCTCGAAGGGATGGAAAATTACATCAAACCGACGCTAGGTTTCGAAGTTAAGCCAGTGGACGATGCTAAAACGAAGGCAAAGCTAATATTGACTATTGATCCATCATTGTATGTGCATATAAAGAATACCAAGACTTCAGCAGAATTATGGAGTACGTTAAAAACTATGTTTGATGATTCTGGTTTCTCGAGAAAAATAGGGTTGCTGCGACATTTCATTTCTATACGACTAGAAAACTGTGATTCTATGGCTACGTATGTGACTCAAATCGTCGAGACAGCACAGCGGTTAAATGGCACGGGATTTACAATAACAGATGAGTGGGTTGGATCATTTTTATTAGCAGGTTTGTCGGATCATTATACTCCCATGATAATGGCAATTGAACATTCGGGTATTTCGACAAGTGCTGATGTCGTAAAGTCTAAATTGTTAGACATGGAAATCGCCAGTGACAATGACAGCGCCGGAAACGGAGCTGCATTTGCCGTGCGAAATAAATTTAACTCTGGCGTCACAAGACAAAAAAATATGGCGGGTAGTCAACGTCAAACAAGAAGACAGTGACAGCTATGACAGATACATCAAATACATCAAAAACAATAACATGTTATAAATGTAAAAAAGATGGTCATTATCGAAGCCAATGCCCATGATTAAAGAAAAATAAGCAAACAAATGCTTTTAGTGTTGTTGTCCTGAATGGAAAGTTTAACAAAACAGAGTGCTACGTAGACTCCGGCGCAAGTGCACATATGACGGCAAACGAATCTTGGATTAAAAACATGAAAAACACGTCTTGTTTACCTGAAATTGTGGTAGCAAACGAATCCAAAGTGCCAGTTGTTTGTTCTGGAGACGTCGATATTGTGTCTGACTTTAAATTCGACATTACTGTGAAAAATGTGTTATGCGTGCCTAGTTTAACAACGAACTTATTATCTGTAAGTGAACTTATTAAAAATGAAAATAATGTTAATTTTTTGCAAAAACCTGGCATTGATTATACAGACACTTTCTCTCCATTTCTGAGGCATTCCACACTTTGATTATTATTGGCTCTCAGTGTTAATTTAAATATGAGTATTGATCACTTAGATGTAAAAAAGCATTCTTAAACGGTTTTTTGAAAGAAAGTATTTACATGTCATTACCTGAAGGTTTAGTGAACAAAAGTGGGGGAAGGGTATTGAAACTTAAAAGAGTAATATATGGTTTAAAACAATCTTCTCTTGCATGGTACGACAGGGTTAAAGAATTACGTTGTAATTTGGGTTTCAAAAATAGCCAGTATGAACCTTGTTTTTTCACAAAAGCTAAAGGTGAGATTAAAAAATATATTTTTTAAATTTTTCAAATAATTCTGTTGAAACTGATAATTTGAGATGTGTTTTAGGTAAAAATTTTAAATTAACAGATTTGGGACCAGTCAGACAATATTTAGGCATGAGAATAAATGTTGACAGAAATAAAAATGTAATAACCTACGGTTATTATCTACAGTATATTGAGCAGTTAGCTTCTAGATTTAATATGTCAAATTGTAAAACATATAGAACCCCAATTGAATGTAAACTGAATGTTGAGAGACCTGATGAAAGTTTGTCCGATCTTCCATATCAAAAGTTAATAGGATCATTGATGTTTTTAACAGTTTTAACCAGGCTAGACATTTAATATTCAGTTAGTTATCTGAGCCAATTTAGTAGCTGTTACAATTATAGTCATTGGCAATATGCTAAACACTTTTTAAAATATTTGTTGTATACAAAAACTTATTGTTTAAAATTTTATAAGGATGATAGCAAATTACAGAGTTTTGTAGATAGTGACTGGGCTAGTGATGCTTTGGACAGGAAGTCATATACAGGCTTTTGCTTCACATTATCTTGATCTGATGTGTCATGGCAAAGTAGGAAACAAAAGACGGTATCTCTTTCCAGTACAGAGGCAGAATATACTCGGAAGCAGAATATACTCAGAATATACTGCTCGGGAAGCAGTATATCTTAGGAACCTACTTAATGAAATTTTAGGTAATTTTTATGTAATTGAGGTCTTTTGTGACAATCAAAGTGCAATAAAACTGTCAGTTAGCAATCAAAGTCACAATAGATCAAAGCACATTGATGTTAAATATCATTATGTATGAGATGTTGTCAAAAATAATTTTGTAAAAATTCTTTGTTTATGCACTGAAGAAGTGGTAGCCGATATTTCCACTAAAGGTTTATGTCTTATTAAACATTATAAGTTTTTGTGTAAATTGGGAATCATACCAAAATGGGATTACATGTTTATTTTGATAAGTGGGGGTGCTGCTAGATGTATCAAAATATGTGTTACTAGTAGCGCCATCTCTGTTAGTAATTGATAATAATTGTTATTAATCTACCTCCACATAAAATTATAAATCAGTCTGTTCGAAATATTCACTTGTTTCATTAGAATCTTCTTCTTCTATATATATAAAAATGGATTGCTGTTCTTTAGTCTCGCTAAAACTCGAGTACAGCTGAACGGATTTATCTTATCTTAGTCTTGAAATGTTCGTGGAGGTTCAGGGAAGGTATAAAAGCTGAAAAAAATTGATTCATTACTGGGAAAACCCTAAAAAACAGCCCTTTTTCTATTTCCCATACAAACGTTTTTTTTGACATTAGATTTGACAATTAACTAATATGTCAATCATTCTGTTTGACTGAAACATCAAAAACCTGATTATTAATGGCCTCTAAGACGGAATAGAGTTCGCCTGGTCAGCTATAGCTACATATATTATTCTTGACCAAACTAACGCGGACGAAGTCGCGGGCAAAAACTAGTATTCTATAAAAGAATATGGTATGTAATGTTTATAATATATATATCTGTTTGTATTCCTTGCAGGTGTTGCGGGTGTGAATGTGAATGTGGACCCTCGAGCTGAACGTCCTTACTTCGACGACGTGTCTCCTCGTAATGTGTCCACAGTGGTCGGTCAGTCCGCGGTGTTGAGATGTCGAGCCAAACACATAGGAAACAGAACGGTATGACAACTATCCTTTGACGATCACTCACATATATCACTTACTACGATCTATTGACACGTTCTGTCTCTTGACGAGATTCAGACTTTGACTGGGACGTGATTTAATACCTTCCAATACAAAGCATGTACTACCAGATATTAAAATTGAGAAATATTGTTCATGCGAAGTTCTTTGATTACGATAATCATTATTAATATAATACAGCGATGCTCCAATATAATATAGTATTGGACGCAAACCCGACACAGATAGTTTATTATAATATTATGAGGGATGCTCGGCTTTATTGAGTATGGCGTACTTGGTTTATGACGTCATCAATCAATTTAAGCCGTTCTATAAATCTGGAGAATTAATATCGAAGACGTCTTTCGTGAAATAACTCAATAGTTCAGTAATAGTTGTCTGCTTATATATAATATATACATATTATGTCTCTATAACAATTATTTAAATGAAGGTATATTCCTCATCATCAAAGTATTTATAACGTGGTTCTTGTTTTAGTTTTATAATTTATTTACTATTTAATTGTTTTTAGTTCATTCGCAACTTTTGGGTTCACGTGAATTTTAGATGTTAGTTGTAAAGAGCGACCATTCCTGAAAGTTAATCAAGATTAATTGAGTTTAATATTATTTATACCGGTGAAGCAAAAATGTTATTTTAGTTGTTTTAAGGTTAGTGTTATAAATGGCTGACAGCTCTCACTCGGCTCGTTTATCGTTGACTTGTAATTTGGTTTTATTTGAGTTATTTTCTTTAACTTTGTTGACGTAGCGTCGGAAAGGATGGAAATTTTGGCAAATTTTATTATGCCATCACAAGCAAATTGATCATGTTTTAAATTATATACTGTACAGACAGACAAGTGACGAACAACTTAATATATACCTATATTGCGTGTTTGTTCAGGTGTCTCTTTAACTAGGTATTAATAAAAAATAACTATTATATATAAAGCTCTTCTTGTTAGCAGACAGTATCACAAGATAATTTTAAAAAATTGAAAACTCACAGTTTCGTACCTGTTTGTTACTTTTAAATTCTTCTTCACTTCTCACTGCGGTAATATTTTTGAATACAAAGTAATTGTCCTTTGTTTAAATCAACTTATTAATGACAATACAATTATTCTGTAAATATTATAACAATCTCGTAATTTATCGGTAATAAGATAACATAATTATTTGGTATCCCTCATATTAATTTCAAATTATTGTTCCTTCCTATTTTTATTACTCATAGTTACTGTAAGATTTTATTTATCAAATAATAAATGCCAAAATTTATGAGATAGCCCTATAAAGCCTAGAGGACGACAAATTTTACACATTTATGTAATGTATTGATATAATATATTTATATATATCCGCGTGTATAGGGTGTTGTGTGTCATGAACCTTTCTAAGCCACACACCTGCATCTATATAATATAATTTTTCAACGTCGAACTCATCGTTTCTTCCACGTCCCATCTCAGAGTCGCTCCACTGACCCTCATATTAATGGTGAAGGGATCTACATCCCATTCCAAGAAATAAATGGCTCTCGGAACTGTCCCGCGATGCATGCTGTTGAACTCAATCATGTACTCGTACTATACTATTAGTTTACTGTTATTATATAACATTGTAAACTTGTAAACAAGGTCACACTAACTTAATGATGTTTATTCTAAAAGGACATTATTATCATGTTATTGTTATGATAACAATACTAATAAGATAAACAAATTTTGACAGGTTTTGTAGTCCGCATGATATAAACGAAGAACACGACTCAGATTTTTCCTTAATTAAGCGACAAAGAAAAACAAAATGGACGGAATGACGTCAATTCTTTTATGAGATACGTTTCAGTCGGCATTCAATCCGTCAAATGGGATGCAAAATTACCAAAAAAAAAAGTATTCCGCTTAGCCGTTACTTAATTCTATTATTTTAAGGGCTGTAAAGAGGCTGTAGATGCTTCATCTTGCTTAATTACGACGTAGGCTTACGAAGGCTCACTCGGGCTTACTCTAATTACGTTCAAAAATAAAAACCCCAACAAAGGAAAGAATTTATTCGCTAATTTCTCTGAGGCTTTCGAATTAAAATAATATATTTTCTTAATAAACATTAATAAATATCCCGGCCGCAGTCACTCGTGACTCGTGACTCGTAGTCGAACATGTTAGAACACTCCGGTAATGAAAATTAATACACGCGTCAGAACGAATATCAGGAGGCGTTCATTAATTAATGTCACAATGGAACATATCGTTATTAATAACTTAATTTTTATATGACTTTAACAATTAATCATACTTTATTTTAATTAAACCGACTGACTCGATTTAAGTTAATTAATATTCATTTGTTAGGTGTCGTGGATGAGGAAGCGTGATCTCCATATTCTGACTTCCCACATCTTCACGTATACCGGAGACGCGAGGTTCAGCGTGCTCCACCCGGAGCCTTCAGATGACTGGGACCTTAAGATAGAGTACGTGCAGCCGCGGGATGCTGGGGTGTATGAGTGTCAGATCAATACGGAGCCGAAGATAAACATGGCAGTCGTCCTCAGTGTTGAAGGTATGACAATCAATATGACACTTTAAATAACTTGATGTTGTTTTATTTCAGCGATCTCCAATTGGAAGTGGATGTGGAAATCTATTTAATGATATTTATATTTTAATAATAAACTGTATAAATGAAAAAAATTACGTAATTGGTAAAGTGCCCATACTTTTTGAAATTTATTTTTATTAATAACTTTGAACCGTAGTATGTTCAAAGCAAGGTTAACATATCTCGGCATGACCTTAATTTTCAAATAAAGGCACTTCTAAAATACGCGACATGGCAATAAATAAAAGAATTGTTTATGAGTTTAATGTTGCCGAATTCACCAAGTTTCACCCTTATGATATGTTACCAGGACGAAATCTCACATTCGTCTCTCGTCATATTATGAAAGCTTGTAATACCACGATACAAAGTGGAAGTCATTACTCTTGACTATATTCGGTGCACTGCTCCCTACTCACTGCTTCCAGCCCCCTAGTTCCTGGCTAGTCTTCCTCCACTATGCGTGTCAAGAATAATTTTATTAACAACGAAATACATTCCAGGAGTATATGCGACATCTTAAACATGTCATATGTAACAATTTGTGTCAACGTATCATTATTGCAAGGAATTCGTTTGAAATCTTATTAATATATAATATAATATTATCCAGTTTATGTATTCTATGAAACGACTAGCAACTAACAATATGAAAACGTTTTTGAATGTTGACAACAACTTCTCTTGAATAATTTAAACAAGTTTTGTCTTCAACGAAATACAAGAGTAAAAGTTAATGGTTTCTTAAAATGGAGACGGTCCCCTTTATTAAAATTAAACCAGCCTAATTAACACAAAAAGTGGCTCTTTGAAAATTTAGTAAAGGCCTTGAGGTAAAAACACGGACCAAATTTGTGTTTAGATTATGTTAATTTACTGAAATAATGTTTATAAATAATATTTAAATTGTCAATAGAAAAGTATGTATGACTAAACAATGAGCGCTTGAAATGTTTTAAACAATTTATACAATTTATTTTGAATATTATTAATATACTATTCCTTTAACATTAAAAATCAATAAACATCTTAGTAATCTATTGTTTGAAGCCAGTCTTCATTTCTCTCAATAATTCTCAGTAATAATACAAACAGCGTAGAGATTTTTTGAAAGTCATTGTGTTATTTCGTTTGTTATATTAAAAGGCTTAGTGTTTGTTTTAGAATATTATAATTAATATACATTGTCAGACTTCATTGTCATTATTAAGTAAAGCGATAAGCTCTTTTTCACATCTGAACAACGCGACTATCAGATACACTCAATAAATTCAAAGCCCTTTCTGTTCATTCATTCATCACATCGCTATAATTTCATCAAGTGAGGCTATCATGTTTACCAAAAGCGCTTTAGTTTTTTTACAGCTCTCGTTTGTAGTAATGCGAGAGTCATTTGTCAGTACACGCTTCACTACCAGAAATATATCAAGCATTCTCAAATTCAGCTCCACCCAATTACAGCGCTTGTTATGTTGAAAAATGTCGGACTCTAGCGAAATGTGCATAAATTTAATACGCAACTATAAACCTTTTGTTATCATATTATCTCCTTTCATTAGTGTGCTTTACGTTGCAACTTTTCTCTTTTATATATTTTATGATTTTATGCAGCACATTCACTATTTATTTTTATAAATAATTCAACATCAATATACTATCTATATACATTTATTATGAAGCTCAGTTCACTTCATCGTGTGATGTGATGTGTCACGTTTTCGTGATATGTGAATGTGTGTTGGAGTCTGTATAATAATAATAATTAATACTTTAATCATAAAATCACATTTATACCGTATAATAATTTGTTCACTATTAAAACAATCCATCGTCTGGAGCACATCTATTAAGGCCATATTCTATTTTGTATTCCTCTTCCCTCCCTAAGCTTGTTGTCTTGTGAATTCCAGATGAGTCCCTCACACCCGCGCCACAGCCTCCGGTTCGATCCTCAGGTATTCCTCTGTTATTTGTTTGTTCATTAGTCCTCAATTAGCGTCATGTTTCCATTACATCATTTTTTCGCTTTCATCTTTCTCTGCTTTGATTGGTTTACGTTGAGTGTTTTAAATCATAGCGACGCATATTTAAAGCTATCACGACTCGGCGAGAGTACTGCATTATTTTGCATGTATGAGTGTATCACGACGACGTGAATAGACATATTTCACTGTCGAGCTCGTTCATATTTTCGAATTTAGGTTATAAATTGAAAGATACTTCACCTCTGTCAGATGCCTTAGAGTTCAAATATAGTTGGAGTTTCTCGTTTGAATCTTAAAATTCCACAGTCGGCTAGTCTATGATATTGTTGCGATGATTGTGAGGAGGTGAACTTTATTATTTATGTAATAAGGTCTATTTTCGTTTGTTGCAGCTGCTGCAGCAACCATCTGGGGCTCTCAGGATGTGTACGTGAAGAAAGGTAGCACAATATCACTGACATGCTCAGTGAATGTTCATTCCTCGCCGCCGTCAAGCGCCTCTGTGTTGTGGTGAGTTTCGTTATATTGATTTAAACTAAACTACATTACATTTTAAATATAATTTAATTTTGAAGATGATCATTTTAATGAAATCAATTTAAAAATGTAGATAAGAGGACAAATAAAAGGGATTTTAAAAGATGTGAAGATGTTCCTTTATTATTAAGAAAAAATGTTCTTCCCAAAAATTTACTTTGTATTCATATTGCGTACGTGGATTTCGTTATAATACGAAGCTTTCCGCCATTTATTATTAAATCTGTTTTAATAAAACATGACTGTAATATTAAACAATGTTGAAGTATTTCTGTCAAACAGTTTTATCCGATTTAGAAGGAACTCACACTTGTGCTCCATTAAATCATACTTTTTTCTATCAAAACTTTGATATTTTAAAATCAAAGAAACAAACCTAAAAAAACATGTTTTTTTTATTTCATATGTAAAAAACTCTTCTACATATAAAACTCAAGTACTTATTACATAAATAAATCTATGTATCAACAAGAGAAACATTTTTGTGCTGTCTGCTAATTCACAGTTGTACATTATTGTAGTTGCACAGCACATTTACCTACTTTTGATGCTCTTCTCAAAAAACATGTCACATAATATACTTTCTTTGTAAGAATTTCCTCTGTTTACATAAAATCTAAATGGCAAACAGTCCATACATGTTTGTCGGTGATAATTGACCATAACTTTTTTTACATTGACTTATAGATTTAAATCTGAACGTACAGATACACAATCTGTGCTGGAATCTTAAATATAAGCCTATAAAATTTAAACTAATGTTAAAATGAGTCAGTTACCAAGGAGGCTTCTGGTAACAAACATGGCATATCCAGCTAGCTAGTTACCTTCAATCGCGTTCAGAGAATTACAATGACTTTATCCACAGTGACAATTTCTGTAAATTGATATTAAATATTTAAAGCCATAAAATAAACAATATTATATATTCAGTTAACAATATGTTATTAATGTTTTGGTATCTCATATCAAGTTATTAATATTTTTTATATAAAAAAATGTATTTAATGGCGAGTACTAAGTAGTATTTTACTATATGTCTGCACATATTTATGGAGATCATTTTATTTTATTTTCAAAATGCAAATCTTCTTTTCAATGTTATGTATTTGGGCGAACATTTCTTATAATTTGGAATTAATACACCATAGGACAGATAATTTATGTATTTGATATAATATATAACACCCCCATTGAATTATTATAATAAAACGAAGTATTATGGAAGTATAGGAGTGTGTAAAATGTTTTTGGTAAATTTTCCTGTAAGCAAAATTTTGAACAAAAGCACTTTACAAATTAGTTTGTAATCAGAGTCTTTCAACATACACTATATCTGAACTAGACGTAACGGCGTCAATTAACTAATTATTAACCATAGATATATGAAATATATAACATTTACAATATAATATGTAAATATATGATATCTTTCATGAATAATATATACAGTGTGACTTTTAATAGTATCCCTTCCATGAAAATGTGTTTTTCACAAGCAAACTACATTTCACTCATACATAATATCCAAAACAGTGTTTGTGCGATCCTTAATATGTCATTTGTTTCAACAGTCATGGTAAAAACTCCAATAAAACTCGTTTATTATTTAAATCTCGTAATATATAGATCTTTTTTTTATAAAGTAAGAAAATAATTTAAAAATTAAGTTTTAAATAAACAATAAATTTTAATTGTTTGCTTGTTTAGTTGGCATTGTTGTAAATATATAATTGAAAGAAAATCGAGCTGCTATATTAATGTCATAAGCTAGTTACCTGGTTATCTCTAAACTGTTCACTATAAATATAGTTTGTATTAATACTTTTAACATATTATAATATGTATGATGTATGTACGTATCAGCCTAGATAATATTATTTAGTATATACATTAAAATTTAAGTAATAACTTCTTAAATAAAAAAAATATTCAAGCAGACGTAACGTTCTAAAATATATTGTTAGAGTTTAGGTATACAATATGATATTTAAAATAATTAACTTTATACATTTCTATAGTAATGAACACGAAAATTTTTGTATAACTTCTTTTTATTATAATACTTGTATATTGTTTATATATCTGATGTGGACTCCCCATGGTTTAAAAATGAAATAAAAGTGTGGTGAGCCTAAATAAGGCCATAATGTCCACCTTCAACTGAAATAAGTAACTAAATTACTTGGAAATACTAAAGATATCAACTAAAATTCAATAGTTGAGAAGCGAGTAAGACTATAAATGCTACAGTCAACTCTAGCTGTTGACGTTGCTATATACTTGGCTATTCTGCTGAAAATCTGACTGACTCACAAGTACTGTTTTGAAAAATGATAAAAAAAGTATAATCCGAAAGCCTAATTGCAACGAAAAAGAACGAACTAAAGATGTATTTTATTCGTGACTGAAAAGTATCGTACAGATTATAACGGTGTGATGTTCTGCCAAAACCAAACAAAGAAGTGGAGTGTAGGAATGTTTTAAAACTATTTAAAATTTATAAAATCTTGAGATAATATACACTTTTATTCATATTTCTTGATCAATGACAAAAAATGATTACTCATATTATAATAAATAACGTAGATTTTTGAGGCAGATAAGTTTAAAAGAATTGAAAATGTTATCTTAAAAGAGAATTTATTATGATGTGATTTAAATGTACACAAACATTGAAGGTCCATGTAAAAGTCAAGTCAGCTTAAAAACTTTGTTCGGTAAGTTCACAAGTCAAATATCTAAATAAATTATAGTAAGTCTGGATCAGGAGCTCTGCAAACTCTGAGAAAGGTTAGTCGGAGTTAGTATGGACTCGAGGAGATATTACAGAATTTAACGAGCAAGTATTATTGTATTATAATAATATAAATTGCATTATACCAGTTGAAATCAGTTTATTTGAAGCACCATACTTGTGGGATATAATTATATTTTTTGTGAATATATTTATTATCTTTTCTGACCAAAACCTCATATTTATTCAATATTGAATAATTTGTATTTAGTAGATTCTTTCTAAAGTCGGCATATCCAAAGACAATGAAAGAGTTAGATGAAGGTCAAATGAACTTACATCTCTTCAATAACGAACCAAATTACATTCAAAAAATCCTTATAGATTCCTAACATTATTTCTGCTTCTTTTTGCAGTCGAGCCCTAGGGAATAGAAAGGGGATTCTTTTTATTTGAAATTTCAAGTTAGCTTTCTTTGACTATCAGCAACTTTGCACCAACCGTGATCAAAGGAACGGAAACGTCGATACTATATCCGAAAACTTTAATTTTATTTAAATGAATACACCCACAAATCTTACATATTTTTGTGCAAAACCAAGCGGTGTAAACAAGTGAAATAGTAAAATCCTCAACTATTTTTTAAACAAATAGAAAAAATATATTTTGTTTATTCAAATACTATCAATGTAATGTATTAATGAGTTAATAGTTATAGTACTATGTAAAACAAGGTATATTAAGTGTCCTCATTTAGTTATCATTCATGTGACAATCTACATAATATGAAAATGTCTTTGAAACTAAGTTTGAAAACGTATTTTTATTATAAAACATATTTAGCACCTAGAAAATAAAAGTCAAATATTATGAAATGAATTGCTGTTTTTCGTAGCTTTAGTTATTTTTCTTTTGATTAAATTCGATAAGATTCAAGACAACGCTCTCCTCTCTAGAGATCGGCCCGAGATTGATTACTCCGAGCCAATTTGTATTTATAAACCTTTATAAAAACTCCTATATTATCAGGTAAAAGTAAAGTTTCGCAAACATTATTATGTTTCATAGTATCTTTATATTGAATTACTATTTATGAAATATGGTATTTTCCTTTTATATAAACCGAATATCTAAGTCAAAGATTATCTATAACCAAATATGTTTCTGTTATTTCAAATCTTTTACTACTTTAAGTATTATGAACACATTCGCTGATAATATAATGAGTGAAGGTGGATGATTAATAGTAATACCAATTTGTTACTAAGTTGTTTGCTAGACTATATTTTAGTTTTGCCTAATAATAATATATTTAATTATTAGGCATGGTATTCATGGCGTTTCTTTTTTTTTTGAAACTACTTCGTACCATGTTTAAATCAACTCAGTATTGTTTTTAACTAAAATAAATCAGAATTTATATAACATTTTCTTTTTATTTATTTCTCTTAATTAATAATAATTATCAACACCTCAGCTTCTCTCTTCTTTCTTTCATACTTATGATATGTTTTTAATTCTCTATGTATGTATGTATTTTCATATTTTTTAGTCTGACTTCACAATTTTTATCCAATTGCTTTAATGATCGATGGTTTTTATTTCGCTACAAAAAATTATACAATACTTCTTATAGTCTTATAATTTTTTCTCGTGAAAACTTAATTAGTAAAGTATTTCCCTAACAATCCTGAATCGGTTTCCCAGAAGCCGGCTTGTTCAATAACTGTCGTAACCATGGTAACCGATCTTTTGTTGTCATCTCTCAGTATTGAGCAGGTATTTTATCTGGACCAGTTGCTTTGTTTTGTTCTTCATTATCAATCAATTAATTTTAATTTTTATATTTTATTAGCATTATAATTGTTTCTGCTGTTTTTTTTATATATTTCTCGTATATGATATTTTTGAATATCAAGAAGAAATCATTCGTTTATAATATCTTCAAAGAATGTTCGACTCGAGATAAATTTCATTGTGTAATAAGCGTAAAAATGTCGAGAAGTTGAATAGGTCTTGAAAAGTGTTGCTTTAGAAATAATGAATCGTTCTAGATCATTAAAACTTTTTCAGCTAAAAATTTACAACCTTTTCATCATCCCAGGTAGATTTTTACGTTTTATGACATGACCAATAATGTGTTTAGTTACTACTTTTGCAGTAGAAGTTATTATTAATTATTTAAACCGTAGGAACATCTTTTTTTCATTCTCAATACATCGGAGACACTTCTACATGAAACTTGACTATAAAGGTTTTTTTCCGCCTCATCATCCGCGAGAATAATAAAATTTCCTTGCTTTCACTAAGAAGTTTGAGTACCTCACTGAATTCCATACAATCAGCCACCTATTTCCCAGCTATGGCCAGGGTCTGCCTTGCATGTTGTGAATAGTTTTGGCTATTTGTTTTTACGACCGGCCGCCTGCCAGACATCAACCCTCTTTGGGAATGCATTTATTTATTTCAAAACTATATGTTATAGTATTACTCCTTCTATCGCTAGATATATGTAATATAATAAAAGTTACTCTCAAAGAATCTTCACACTTACATCAAATAACTTGACACTTTATGATCTCCAAACTTAAGCCAATCTTATCTGCAGGTATCACGGTAATGCTGTAGTGGATTTTGACTCTCCTCGAGGCGGCATTAGCTTGGAAACCGAAAAAACCGAAGGCGGCACAACTAGCAAGCTCCTCGTGACGAAAGCGGCTCTCACAGACTCAGGGAACTACACCTGTGTCCCGAATAACGCACATCCAGCATCTGTGTCTGTGCATGTGCTTAATGGTATGGATATATTATAAATTACATTACAACTACAATTTTACTGTCTCAAATGTTTTATATACATACCGATTCCGACAATAATGTTCTTGTTATTGCTACATAATAGTGAAATCAATTGATTTAGATTAAATGAAACTAATATTTTTCAAATATATTACGCGTATATATTATTATATATTATAAAAAACACATACTCTCGTTTCAGTCACTTTTCAGTTACCGTGATCACGGACAGACGAGATGTGATTGTTTCATATTAGTTTCGTTTAAATGAATACTCGCGAAAGTCATATCAGTATGACTTAGATTAATTGTTTAATATTTGTTATATATGTATTATATATGGTTCAGGAGAGCACCCGGCCGCGATGCAGACTAGTAACCGCGCCTCGTCTTTCCTCACGTCTCAGCTCAGCTGCGCCGCCCTCACATACCTGCTGTCTTCAATGGCCTACAGATGATCATCTTAATAAGCCGGATTTGGATCTCTTAAACGATCCGACGATTAAACACACTGGATATCTTATTTTGGATATTGTTTTAAATTTAAAATGAACTTATTTAATCAGTAAGGATGTTTATTGTCTGTTTTAATGTTATCCGCGATGACAAACTCCAAACTCCATTTATAAAATCTATTAATAAGCGACTATGGTTGATTGTTATGTAAGATGATGAAAAATTTTATTAGTTACATTTTATAATAATAATATTGTTGTATAACAGTTATGAAAACACTCGATGTTGGTCATTCATAGTTTTTCAGCTGCATTTTAAATTATGATAATGTATGTATAGTCTAAACGAAAATACATCTTTATGTATGTTTTTATACATTCCGAATTATTTTTTCAGACGTATATTTTTATTTGCATTCCACTTCATATAATTATTTGATTAGTTGTTAAATATTTAAGTAATAATAATTTTTTGAGTCGAACGTAATCCGTCGTTGTTTTTAATATTATAAATGTAAATCGCCGTTCTGTAAATATGCCTGAGTCCATACGTAAAGTAGTCGACATCACACACACAAACATACACAAACACACACATACACACACACATTGTACATACATTGAACTGTTGTAAATAATTATATAATAACTTTATAATACGTAGTTGTTTCACCTGTGTAAGGTTAATATTATTTTTTGTTCCTAGAACATTTAGCATTAAAGAAGACCTCTTTTCGTTATGAACGATTTGTTTTTATAAAATTTATTATTTGCCAAATTCGGTTAATATACAAATACTTTATTCATTCCATATGTTATCGAAAGTCATGAATTAATATAATTAATTGTACTGTAATTACTTTTGTGATATTTATAGGTATTATATTATTTAAAGTTCTGTAATATTTTTTTAAAATATATATTAAGGGAAGAGGTCTTAAATTATGTACGTAATAAATAGAAATTAAAGACAAATAACAAAAAACTAAAATACTATCGACTGTTTTCTATTAACGTAATATTAATAATATCTAAATCTCCTCTGTTATAATCTTATTAAAAGAATTTACACTTGACTATGATAACATTTTATAACAAAGAATGTAATTAAAAACTATAATTTTGTCTAAAAATCTCCGCATTTCGCACGAAAATTCTACAAGGAATTAAAACACATAGCGTTTCATAAACTTAAAGTATAATACACATAAAGTTGTGTAAAAATGTGTTGGCGTTGTGTAAAGTCTGTTAATAAGAGCTCGACTGCAACTGTTGAAATTTCTATTTCCCTATTCTTGTAAAGTAGGCTAAACTGAGATTACTATAGCACAGTAGAAAATTATTAATAGCTATGTTCCTTACGCGTAGGATGTTGATGTATGAATATTATTTGTACCACGGGATCGTTTCTTGTACGATTTGATTGTAAATGTCACTCATTGTACGGTTTCCTTTTGTATTTTGTAAATAAATTGTAATGAATGAGAATGGGGTATTAATAAATAAACTTACAAAGTTGACCCTCGTTTTAATTCACAACTTTATCCATAACATTTTGATATATGTATCTCCGAGTTATGAATTATTTCATTTACTTGTTATTTTGATAAACATTATTTTTTTAATATATTGGTTTGTAGCATGTTTCATCTCGCACTTTTTAAGGACTATTTGAAGTAATTCATTTGAAAAAATATAAAGTTGACACAATAAGCTAAACAAGTAGTAGTTTCAAACATGAACACACCAATTATATTATACTGTGACTGGTTGATACTGAGACTCGTTTCCGAGAATTGTTCTTACTATGATAAAACACACGAGTTTTATGGATACGCTTCATTCAAATGAATTTAAAACACATTTGTATGAATGATTCGTACAGAAATTCTAACAATTCCATTAACTGCCGTGACATATAAAGATAATATTTGAAACTGTAATTTTAAATTTTGAACTTATTTTCAATTTCAAATTCATTGAAATCAGTTAGAGTTATTTAAACAAACGCCTCCTATAAGTAGAAAAACTTATGTAATGGTCAAATAATAGGTAATTAATTTTGTAAGATTCTTATATGACGTATGGTAATTACATTTTTTCACAAATAATGCAGCTTATCATAGCCTTCATATATAAAAGTACACTACGCTATTAAAAAAAAAAATTATTACAAAATTTATTAATAACTATATTTAATTTCTTTATGGTGTCATTCATTAATATATTAAGAAAGCTAGTAATGAAAGGATCAATTTCCTATGATTAAATTTATATAACAAGTGCAAGCCTTCTTACTAGGAATGACATAGATTACGTCAAAGTTCATTGACATACCAAAAACCTCTTTATCCTTACACCAGAATATTTTTAAATATAATCAGACATGCCATCTCCTGATTGATCGGCATATTCATAAAACTGTCTTCTCCGGCAGCAAGTATTAACCCTCGTAACACTACAGAGATCTCTTGTTCCACATATGGCAGTTGCCAGAGGATCTTATATGCTCCCTATAATAAACTGGAAATGTTGTTAACAGTATAAAAATAATAGTGCAAAGTAATATAAAGCCTGACTGTGACACCCTTTCAATAACACCTTCTCAGAAACGCCTCATCTACTTCGCCGTTACTGATGGTGGCGAAAATATCTGAACCAATTGTTGACACTAGCTCTCCACACCTAGCCCATCAACTCGGACTAATATTTTTATAATTTAATCTAAAAACCTGATCTGACGCATGTCTAAGAAACGATAGGTGGAAGGTATAATTCTGCTTAATACAGAAAGAATGAAACAGCTTTACATTATAATTAATAATTATAAAATATATTTGTTTAATATTCATTCTTTTTATGACTCATTTATGTATAAAGAAAATATTTTTATGAATATACTTAATGACAAAAAATACATACATAGATAGATTTGGATAAAAATTAGTTAAAAAATTATATTAAAATAACAACCTTGATCTAATTACCTTGATTAGAGTCACGAACGACCTAACAGTATTAATGATAAACACGTTTATATAAAAAAAATATATATAATTACTATAGAAGTCTCCATTCAAAAGTCAAACACAGGCCACAAATATTATATTCCATCAAAGAATTGTAACGTCCCATAAATGATATTCGTTGGAGCCCTATTATGGCGACAGAGGCTTATGGATCGTGTGTATACATACAGACACATATATATTATATTCATATGAACTCATCGTTAAACCTTAACGTTTATATCTTTCTTATATATTTTCAGGAAAAATAATTTCGCATCAAAACGCGACATAGTGATATTCGAATTCAGATTTAACGTGAAAGCTTTTAAACGAAAATGTCATAAAGGTTCCGTATATTTAATAAAAATTATGTAAATAAGTGTTCGAATGTATGTATAAAGGATTTGAATTTAAAATGTGATATATTTTTTTAAATAAATACGTGAATGTATTTTTTTAAATAGAGTTAACATTTTTTGCCGTCTTCTTATTAGCTTTTGGTAAATAGTTTTGGGGTTTGTAGGTTTGAAGGTAAATGTTATCATCTATTTTTGATTATTATAATAAAACAAAGACGTAAAAACATGTGAAGCTTTTTGCATTTAAATTTAACAATTACATTTACCTAGAGAACCCTAATAATGTATTGTGGTGTAAGTAAAATTGTGTGTAAGAAGTAAACGATTCATTTCAACATTACGTTATCGTCTTATTTGAGAAAGAAATAAAAACATACGTTACTATGGAGGCAGGTTCTTAGAAACATATCAAAAAAACAAATTTTCATTCCAGTGATGTTTGTAAATTAAAGCCTTTTATATTATTAACAACAAATATTGTAATAATAATATATTTTTTGCATTTTTTTAGTAAGGAAGGAAAATAATTAATATTATAGGTACTTTATCTGTTATTTGAAGTCGTTCTCATCTCTCATCCTAGGTAAGCCTTCTCTATTATAACGCTGTAATAATAATATAATCATCCTCGACTTGGCAGAATCTGTTTCCAAAGACTTGTTTACATTTTGCTTTATCACCTATATTAAGGAAAATTGTCTGTCCTTTAATACGTTACACAATTAAATTTACATGAAAAATTATATACAAATAAAAGTAGAAAGATTGCAGTTTTATTAAAATATCTTCTCATTTAATTAATAATTGAGAAAAATAATTTTGCCTGCAATGTAAAAGTCACTTTTCACATACAATTTAGATAAATTATTTTTTATTACGAGTATGTAATAAAATATCTTTCTATATTTTCTATTCAAACTTCAATTATAATAAAATAGTTGAAGAATCGGGTGAGAAGGCAAAGTTAAATAATAATCCTGAGAAAAAATATCCTGAGGATGAGGTCGCGTTTTTCCGCGAAAATTGTTTCGATGATGGCTTCTGAGATGAGCCTCGCTCTCAGATTGTGAGCTCGTTAACTTGAACTATTTGCTTATATCGTTCTTAATGGAGAATAACATTTGACTGAACTTTTGTGAAGGTGTAAACTGTGAACGTTATTCCAAATAATAATATTATAAATGAATGATCCTTACAAAGATTATTTGTAATATATTGAGATACAAAAATATTTAATGTCATATTTTATTACAATATATATAACTTTAATCCTTTAATATATTTTAATGAATACCCTTAATGAGTTTGGACACAATTAATTATTTGGGACTGTAAATAATTAAAGTTAAACATTTAACAGCCACGAGGCGGGACATTAAAATTCATGGCCAATGGGTAAAGTATGAATGATAGGGGCTTCTGCAGATTTTTATTTTTCTCACTACAGATTCTGTTTTAATACAAATGATTAAAAGCCACATCCGCCGTTTCTGTTTTTGGTTTCAACATTAGATTAAAATTAAAACGGTATGCTGCCCTTCATAGAAATTAAATATTTGAAATGTTCGTAGTTTAAATGATATATAAAACAATATTTGCATGTACTGTATGCAACTTGTCTTTAAGTCAAAGA